GATAGATAGATAGATAGATAGATAGATAGATAGATAGATAGATAGATAGATAGATAGATAGATAGATAGATAGATAGATAGATAGATAGATAGATAGATAGATAGATAGATAGGAATTATAAAGTGAATCACCCTTCACTAAAACCAATGAGACTTTAGTACTTAATTTTGACTGGACATTGCTTTAAGTCAGGAAGTGACTAAAAGGAGAAAAGAAATGAAAGGTGGGGTAGAAATTAAATAAATACATAATTGAATGAAAAGAAATGAGACTTTTCTTCTTGGCCTTTTCTTTGTAAGTCACCAGCATGTTTTGTAGTGAGAGTACAGGTCACACAAAGCAGTGCACTGAGAAGCTATTTCAATTCAGTCACCAATCCTGGCACAACTCTGTGCCATATCTTTAGCAGTATTCTTCACAGTGTGCCAAGGGTATGTTATTTAATTCTGCAAATGCTGTGGGGTTAACCGGAGCATGCACATCTGTCAGATGATGCACGTAGTCCTCAGTTGTGCTGTGGATGGTGTCAATGTACATCTTCCATGCCTTTTCTGGATCAGGAGACTTGCATTTCACCTTTAAATTTCTCTCCAGTTTTTTCTGTTTATACTTAAATTCCAGAATAGTTTTTGTGTATCTGTTCATTGTGGTCACAGAGGAAGCCATACAGCAAGCAAAGGAGCCCCACGCAAGACTGTTAATAAACAAGAAAATAATAATAAAATGGCTGGATACATACACTGTTTTTCAAGTGCTACACTGGGTGCGGTTACATATCACAACACTCCTGATTTTATGTCAGGCTTAGCACACTTGAAATTGATTTTAAAATTTCTGCCTATGCAATATACAACTAAGCAAGCATTTTTTTTGTCTGAAAGCAAGGTACAGTGGGGTCTTGACTTAAGAATGGCTCGAGTTAAGAACATTTTGACTTAAGAACCGCTCTCATAGGAAAATATTGACTTGATTTACATACTTAGATTTGAGTTAAGAACTGAAAAAAAACCACGTGGGAGGCAGGGAAAGTGCAAAATTTGAACTTTCAGTTAACTGTTGGCCAGTGAAAAGGGTGCCTGTCTGCTTCCTCACTCCTCCCAGCGTTTAGAGAGTGGATTGGGAGATAGTCTTCGGACTGCCTGGTACTGTCCTGCCTGGACTGTATTTTCCCTGCCTTCCCTGAACCTTTCTTGACCTAAGAAAAAAGAAACAAAATATCCCCCTCTAGTGGTCACAGGCAGAATAGCAGCTTCCTATTTGTTTCTATGGACGGAAAAGAGCAGATACGGATCAAATGGTTTTCAATGCATTCCTATGGGAAATGCAGATTTGACCTGAGAACTTTTTGACTTGAGAATCGCCTTCCAATATGGATTAAGTTCTCAATTCAAGACCCCACTGTATTTTAAACAGCCATAAGGTGGTTGTTTATTTTAACTCAATTGTGGACACGATTTATTTTGAATCGTTTTGGTATGTGTGCTTACCTTTGTTAGAGTACATTGTTTCTGTGGGGTGTGTCCATAATTAGACACCAGGATCATGTGTTTTGAGCTGCAGGGAAACCTTGCAGTCTGAATGTTACTTTTTTTTTCTCTGTATGTAACACAGATCTNNNATCATCATCATCATCATCATCATCATCATCATCATCATCATCATCATCATCATCATCATCATCATCAACAAATATTACAAGTAATATTAGAGCAGAAAAACATCCTTTTGTCCCTGCTGCCCATGTTACCTCAGGGCAGGGGATGAGTTTGTGGTGATGCTGACGATTGGCTGTGAAAGGTAGCTAGCACAAAGTGGCCAGATACAGGACAAAACCTCAAAAGCAGTTCCTGAATGATGTACCAGCAACAAGAGTGTCTCACCATGGCCAGGGCAGTGTGGGGTTTTATTTTAATTTTTTTGGTGCAGACATTTCACTTCCAGAATGCGTAGCCTGAGGAGGGTGAAACACCAAGAAGCTGGAGCCCTGTAGTGCCAAATTGTTTAGAAACACAATGGTTTTAAAAACCTGTGTAGACCCCTTGAATCGTATACAACCCAGATGACAAACAGATTAAAAGCTGCCACAAGAGGACACACACACCAATCCAAAAGCGATCTGATTACCACATAAGTTTTAACCACCCCCAATACAGCTCCTGATTTATTTTCACAGTGTAACTGTGCCCTCAAATAGTAGGACAGCTTTAAAAAGGTCACAGATGGCTCATTTCTCATTCTTTCCTCCTCTGCAGTTACCTAAAAACTGCAAAATGTCAGAGAATTAGGGAGGCCTTCTGGACAAGGATGGGATAGTGCATGAGAGGACCACAATGGAAGAATGGAACAGGAAGAGAGAGAAAAAAAGGTTGAAGGCACTGAAAACAAAAACACAAAAGCCCGTAGAAGAACATCTGTCTCAAAGTGCCTGTCTTTGTTACTTGAAAATACTCAAGACATTTCAGAAAATGCTTTGATTCATCCATCTATCAGGAGCAGAATGATAAGGAGCTTGTACACTGTTTCAGCATTTGAGAAGTCAGCAAGGTAGACAATGCACTCAATGTGCATTTAGAAGTGTTGTTTCCTCAAGTGTTGACATATCTCTTATAGTATGTGTTTTTCCCCACATCTGTATTTCCACTGCAGCATTCCCCCTGCCCTGAGATATGTATCCCACAGGAAATCCCACAACTCAAGGAAAAGGCATGCTAATCAACGTCTAGTTTGACCCTGAAAATTAAAGCCTAGTTTCAGACAGTTCCTCATGCCCTCTAAAGTCTTCCTTGTCTATCCCATTGCTTTCTTGGACTACAACTGGACATGCTGACTAAGGGATTCTGGGAGTTGCAGTCCAAAAAAAACTTTCTTGGACTACAACTGGCCATGCTGACTAAGGAATTCTGGGAGTTGCAGTCCAAAAAAGTAACATTTCCAATTTCTCCTCCAGTACCATCAATTTCTCTTGGTCATGAGGTGGAGCTTACAAAGACATAGCACCAGTTCTTCAGAAAATGCTTACTGTTAGGCACAACAGAACTAGTTAAGTATTATGTTACTGAGGATGATGATGTGTGAGCTTGGGTGAAATTATGCAGAATCAGGGGAAACTATCCCACCATGTTGTATATGATGTCACCAGAGGCTTGAAGCCTTTCTAAAACTAATTTAACAGCAACTGTATTCTGGATGCAAACAATCCTTTTATGTCAGAAAAGTTGTGAGATACTTAGGAATCAAATGCAGCTGTCAATGTGTTGCTTTCAGACACTTTTAAAGATCCTTCTGCTACTCATAAGAAGCAAACATGTGTAAGACAGCAACATGACAGACAGAGTCATTTGTCATTATTAGGTGTTCCCCTCCCCACTTTTTCACACACAGCTCTAAGATCAACCAACCAATCAGAACAGTTCATCTTTCATACCAGTATGACCAGCCATAATCCCAGGTCTGCGGGCGCCAGTCCTCTGGACCAAGATTGACAGTCATTTGGAAGACGGTTGTGTACATCATGTGAGCCACCATCCCTAAGAGACCTGAAATATCAAAGAACCCAGTGTTAACAGCAATACTTCCCTAGTTGAAGTTTGAATTAATCTAAAGGCTTTTAAAGTATTGGATGAGATTCCTAAGGAAACTTGTAAGATTATTGCAAAGGCTTGCTTCCAAATGAAATCTGTTGTAATGCATTGGGTATACATTTGTAATGAAAAACATTTGAGCTGCACCTTTTCTTAACACTTTATTAAGCTTATGTGCCTCCATCCTTGCTATTTGACTGAAGGAAAAAGAGAAATCCTCTATCGCTGAAAGAGAAAATGAAATCCTTTACTATACAAAGAGAGAACTAATGCAGCTCCCTGGATCTCTTTGGCATGGGGGAATTACACAGACTAAAGAACAAGAACAGAATGTGTGATAGCTTGAAGGCAACTCTGCAAGGGCATTTTTCTTCGGTTAGTGTAAATGCTGATATAAGATGTCATAAGGGGTCTGACTCTAACCATCAATCCTTGGTATCTCCAGTTAGAAGGACAACAGGTCAGAGTCAACAATACAGGGGAAAATAAGACAGATATATGACTTAGTGCAAGACAGCTTCCAATGTTGTTAGCAAACTAAACAATCTAATCCCCATGAACCATTCAGACTCCTGGGGCAAACCTGAGCCTTGGTCTACTGTCCAGTTGTGTAGTATCAAAAATGACATCGGAAAGATCAGGGCAACGATTAATAGAAAAACAGTTTCTAAGTTCCAATGATTTCTGCTTGTACGAACAATCCAAGCTGGTATTACTGAGCCATACCTGCTAGAACAGTGAATATTGCAGCAAAGGCATTGAGCTTCAACCCATCCAGGATGCTGATGGAATAGCAGAGTTCGATCAACATGAGAGTGATGCCCATCAGGAGTAAAACGATGTAGAGTAACTCTGCTGCAATGGACAACCACAAAACCCCTGGAAAAAACAAAGGACAACACCACTGAGATTCCCACAAGCACCAAGAGCTTTTTCACTATTGCATCCATTGAATTACCAATAGATACATATACACAGAGAGGAAGGGGGGGAAGGAGAGAGAATGAAAGGATTTTAGCATCCTTCTGATGGCTTCGGCCTCTCCTGGGTCTAGCAGGAGATGTTTGGTTTCTGTATCATCAGTTGTATAGGGCAGGGGAAATCTCCAACTTTGGGGCCATATCTGCTCCTCTGTAATTTATCAGATGGCCATATCCCCTTCTCTCTGCTACTGTCGTAGTTTCCATGTTTCATTATATGGCTACCTTCAGAGGCACAGGCCCACTCATGCCCCAACTAGTTCTGTCCCACATACATCTCTTCTCATAGCCAGGGACCTCTATAATGGTTTTGGGAACCTGCAACCTGACTTTGATACCAACATGTTGTGTTTCTGTCCCAGGTAGGTGGGGCTTGTTAGCCTTGGAAGGCAGCCCATCTAGAAGAAAGAAAACTCCAATTTCAAACCTCCACTGCCTTGTGGCTATATCCACTGATGGAAAAGGCTTCAGGAGTTAACCTCGAGGCAAAATCCAGAGCCGGAGTCCCAGAGGCAGTTCGTGTCATTCTGGCAACTCCTGCGACATTGCTGGAACCAGTTTTATTGGCTCTTGCCTTTCCATTGGACAAGGTATCATCAGTACACTGATGATAGGTGACTCTATCTCTCCTTTATCACCTCTGCAATGGAGGCCATCCAGACACTGGAGTGATAACTGGCTTTGGTTTTGGAATGGACCAGGGCTAACAGGCTCAAACTGAACCTGGATGTATCTAAGATTTTGCTCAGATAGGTTGGGTGGCATCACCCCTAGACTGGATGGCTTTGCCATCCTATTTAGAGATCAAGTACGCAATCTAGGCATTCTTCTGGACCTGGCTCTTTCCTGGAATTCCCAGATTGCAGCTGTGTCCAGATCAGCCTTTATCAGCTGAGGCTTATCACTCAACTCTGCCTCTGCCTTGCTGAGGGTTTCCTCAGGGCACTGGTATAAGCACTGAAAATCTTCCAGATAAACTACTGCAATGCTCTCTACATGGAGTTTCTCTTGAAGCTGACTTAGAGATTATAGTGAGTCCAGAATGTGGTGGCCAGGCTGCTAACTGGTGTGAGCAAATTTGAGCATGTCACTCCAGTTCTGGCTCACCTCCACTTCAGCTTCACATACAGTATCAAAAAAACATGGGGGGCTACTTCCGACGGTGGGAAAGGTCATTGCACCTCACTAGGTAGCTACCGCCTGCCTTAAACTGGGCAGTCCCCAGCCAGTAAGCTGCTACCTCACCACAGTCTGGTAACTTCATGGGGTGCATGGTGTTTAGAGTGAAAGCCAACAAGCAGATCGATAACCCTGCACCATTCAATAATCATAACAAAACTTCTGCCCTAAAGTTGGGCACCTGGAATGTTCGGACAATGACCCCTGTTTTTTCTGATGACCTGCAGGAAATTGGATATGCATGCAAAACAGCTGTCATTGACATGGAACTGAGTAGGCTGCAGATGGACATTGTTGCCCTGCAAGAGAAGAGATTGCCAGACTCGGGCTCTGTCAAAGAAAAAAATTCTCATTCTTGTGGCAGGGGAAACCATGTTGGTGCTGATCACAGTTCTTGGCCCACTTGTCTAGGCTGTTTTGGCATTGGGAAAATGAACGAAAATGGCCAACATTTGCTGGAGTTTGCTGTTATTATGGTCTTTCTGTCCGCAACATGTTCTTTAATACGAAGATTCAACACAGAGTCTCTTGGAGACATCCAAGATCAAAGCATTGGCATCACCTCAATTTGATCATCACTAGATGCTCTAGCCCTCCTAGTATTACAATCACACACAGTTATCAGAATGCTGATCGTGATACTGATCACTCCCTGGTGTGTAGTAGAGTCAAACTGTGAATAAAGAGATTGTATCACACGAAAAAAGAAGGAAGACCACATATTGACATCAACAAGACTCATGATCAGAGAAAAGTGGAGGAATTTACCCAAGCACTTGAGGAAAATCTTCCAGGCCTGGCTGTTACAAATGCACCTGAACAATGGGAACATTTCAAGAATGCTGTTTATAACACTGCCATGTCCACATTTGGCAAGAAGACCAGAAAGATGGCGGACTGGTTAGAAGCCCATTCGGAGGAGTTGATGCCAGCCATCGAGGAAAAGAGGAGAGCTCTAGCAGCATACAAAGCCTGTCCTAGTGAGTACAACTTGCAGGTTCTTCGAGTTGCTTGTAGCAAAATCCAACAGACTGCCAGGAGATGTTCTAACAATCATTGGCTTCAGCTCTGCTCTCAGATACAGTTAGCAGCAGACACAGGTAACATCAAGGGAATGTCTGACAGTATCAGGCAAATCTGCTCCTTTGAAGATTGCTACAGGCATGATAATCCAGGACTGAGCACAGCAAATGGAACACTGGGTGCAGCACTACTCTGAGCTATATTCCAGAGAGAATGTAGTAACCAAAGAGGCATTAAATAACATCAAGTGCCTGCCTGTCTTGGAAGAGTTGGACAGTGACCCAACTTTAGCAGAAATAAAAGCGGCCTTCCTCTTTGCCGATGATGCAGCTGTTGTTGCCCATTCTGCTGAAGACCTCCAACAATTTATGAATCGTTTTAGTAAGGCCTACCAAGATTTTGGATTAACCATCAGCCTGAAGAAAACACTAGTCATGGGCCAGCGTGTGGGCTCACCTCCCTCTATTACCATCTCTACACAAGAATTGGGGGTTGTTCATGATTTTGTGTACCTTGGCTCAATCTATAGAGCCTGTGTCCTGAGCACACTCCTGTACTGCAGCGAGTCCTGGACCCTCTGTGCACGGCAGGAGAGGAAGTTGAACACATTCCATATGTGTTGCCTCTGATGCATTTTTTGTATCACCTGGCAGGACAAAGTTCCACATAGAGTAGTCCTGGAACGAGCTGGAATTTTTAGCATGTATACCAGGGGTGGGCAATTAATTTCTATAGGGGGGGCACATGAAAAATCTGAACTGTGTTTGGGGGCCGAACCAACTTTACTTAAAAATAAAACGAAACTGATGTTATGGTTGTTTTTATTTTAAACTTTTAATCTTCACAAATACTAAAGTGGTTTTTTGGGGTATGTTAAAGATAAGCAATTGATCAACTTAAGAGAAAAAGCTATAAATGGTTTTGATGTTCAAAACTGTCTGCGGGCTGGAGAGGAGTGGCTCGCGGGCCGCATGTGGCCCTCGGGCTGCACTTTGCCCAGGTCTGATGTATACATTACTGAAACAGCAATGTCTACATTGGCTTGGGTATATCATGAGAATGGCTAACAGTCAGATTCCAAAAGATCTCTTGGATGGAGAATTAGTGCAGGGAAAGTGCCCCAGAGGGAGACCACAGCTGCGATACAAGGATACCTGCAAGTGGGATCTTTAAGGCCTTAGGAATGGACCCTCAACATATGGGAAACCTTGACATCTGAGCATTCAGCCTGGAGGCAGGCAGTGCAGCATGGCCTCTCCCACTTTGAAGAGTCCCTTGTCCAGCAGGCTGAGGCAAAGAGGCAGTCTCAAAACCAGCCAAATCAGGGAGCTGGACAGGGGACAGATTGTATTTGTCTTCAGTGTGGAAGGGATTGTCACTCTCAAATTGGCCTTCTCAGCCACACTAGACGCTGTTCCAAGACCTCTATTCAGAGCACGTCACCATAGTTTCTCGAGACTAAAGGATGCCTGCTATTGTTTCTGTATTTCTTTTTGTTTATAATGATGGGGAGTCAGTCACACGCTGTATGTATTCACAGTTGTTTTTAATTCTTTTATTGGGGAATTGCCTCTGAGACTCATCCCCATGTCAAATCTTCTCCACTGAGAGCATGCTCTGGAGAGCTAGCTGCTTAGGGGGCTTGCAAATGCACAGCTGTACTTGAGATACTAGTATTATAGGATGACACCCTTTGTCTTCTGTATTCGCCAGCAAAATGAAGGCACAGGCAATGGTATGTGTGAGAGAAGTGAGAGAAAGGTGGTAGCTTGGGTACGCACAAAAGACAATAAAGACGACCTCACAGAGGTTTACCTACAAGCTGCAGGTTGCCAAGAGTGGAGCCATCTGAAGAGATGACAACCAATATTAGAGTTCAAAAGACAGTCTTGTACCCCAGTTCAATAGATATGCACAGAGGTGCAATGGGACAAAGGAGCTAGTTTCAGGGTAGTTATAGCTACAGTTATGCATGGAGGATTCCGTATTTACATTTAGATTTCAATTGTAATTAAATAGCAAATTAATCTCTTAACTAAGGGTCAAATCACAGAGTAGGAGAAATGCTTCCTTTCAGGCATGCAGTTCCTTCAAACCTCCAAGCCTGAGAAATCAGATTTGCAGATGATGCCCATGTTGACCTCCTGATGGCCAGTCATAAAACAAGAGCAAGCTAATTTGCAATTTGTGTAGTAAGGTGAGTTCACATTAGGATAATCAAATGCTTTTTATCTCTTAAGGGAGCTCTGCTTCTAATCAGCTGCTAAATGGATCATTTAGTTTGAGCCTGATTTGAGCATTAACTTGAAAAGGCTGGAGGGAGCCCCTAGGCCCCATGGTAGTTTGCCAGTAACCAAGGTTTACCAGAGATTAATAGCTGACTTGGGACAAACTAGTGAAAGCAGGTTTTGCTCCTATCAGTCTGCCATGAAGCTGGAACTCAAAGTGCTATCTTCCAAAAGGACGTTTAGAATCTTCATGTTTTCCCTCCTTTTAGAACATCCTTTAGACTTTGGCTTTGAAATCTAAATATGAAACAAACTTTTTAAGACCTGTTCAGCATGATATATATGCCCTGGAGTGATAATAAAGTGTTCCCTTTCCATATACAAATTTAAAATTCAGCCATAAATATATAAATCAGAATGTATATATCAGCAACTCATCAACTGGATTAGAAACTAGAAGTATTAGTCAAAATGTGTTTTTTAGCATTGCATTTCCCATGATTCCGAACATAAAGATAAAAATAGCAAGAACTTGAAATAGCAAAAATTACCTCGATCTGCCGGGGGTGTTAGGCTGATAAAACTTCTACATTTCTCACCTATAAAGCAAATATAAGGCACATTTTAGAAATATTTTTTAAAAACCCAACAACCTCACAAATGTTTCATTAGATAGCTTAGCTTTCCATCTTACCAACACTTAGAAACACAGCCTCCCACAAGCAACAAAGATGGGGTTGTGAGCAGATGGTGGGGGAAGCTATAGGCACCGAAATAAAATATCTGTTGTGATTTGGAATGCAAACCCTGGGAGAAGAAATAAATAGAACATCCATCCATCTTTATAACTCTAATAGAAAATAAGAGTTATATTAGATACTTTATAAAAATGCAGAAACACAGTGTTAGATATGAAACTGACCTTATTTTCACCACTTATCCCTTTAATCTACACAAGGGCATGGGTATCGTCCGTATCACAGCCATTTCCCAATATTTAAAGGGCGATTGCAGGGCAGATTGAGCAAGCTTATTTTCTGTGGATTCAGAAGGTAGGGCCCAAAGTAATGGGTGCAAATCAAGAAAAAAGGAGCTGTTGCCTTAACATTACAAATAACTTCTTGATAGTAAGGGTTGTTCAACAGTGGAATGGATTGTCTTGGAGGGGGCTGAACTCTTCTTCCCTGGAAGTTTTTTTTAAAATAGAAATTAGATGGCTACCATTCAAGGATGCTTCAGCTGTGGATTTTCTGCTTTTGCAGACATTTGGGCTTGATGACTCTTGAAACTGTACCAAAAGACAGTTTCAAGGCATAATTAATCACCAAGAAGTTGCAAGTTCTTCTAGATTGCAACTGATGATTATATCCCCATTTATGGAAGCCTAACAAAAATCAGACTCAAACACACACAGCCTTTGGGAATACAATCAAATGGGTAAACATCTGATGATATTTATCAATATCTTCAAAGGGCCCAGATCTTCCTCTTGTAATTTTAGAGCATTTTGGGTGTTCTTATAAGCATACAAAACATTCATTTTTTTAGCAGTTACCCTTCATCTGTTCCAATCTCAAATATCCAACATTTTCTATGATATTCCCTCTATAGGACTTCCTGTCATTCTAAATTCCATCATCCCTTCCCACTAAGTTTTCTCTCACTCTGAAAGATACTTTCTGCTTTCCTTTAAACGTTTTAAAATTATTTTGGATGCTTGCATTTCCTTCAAACGACAAAGGTAGGCTGCTGCCAAATTGTACTATATTTCCTTCAGTGTTTCTAAACTCCCGTTTACCATTTTCAGCATCTAGGGCTGAAGCCTTTCTGTGTATTTCACTTCTATTTTTCCCCAGGTACCACCCGGGCATCTCACTCGGCATCTTGGCTATCGTCATCTATGATGGCCATTTTGCCTGTGCGTTGCCCCTGTTGGTGATTAGTTGAAATGGAATTGTGTGGACATAGATCCATGTAGCACCAATAATTTGTGTAAGTAGCTCCCCATGTGTTCCGGGCAATTTTAACTCTCCCACTTAACCTCCACAAAATGGGTCTGTGCACATCCATGATCACTTTGTCATCCCCACTGTCAAGATTTGCACTGTAATCTCTTTGAGGTCAGATCCAACATACACTACTTTCTAAAACATCCTTTGTTTTGGAGGTAGGGCAATGTAAAATGCATACAATTGCAAACACAATCCATCAGTTGATATTGAACATCACTGTTGTAAATAATTCATGGACTATTGATGAGTGGGATACCAGAGTGACAATTCTGTCATTCTCCCCCCCACCACCACCTTTCTTCTTCTTATAGAAGCTGAGGGTTTGTTCAGATGGGCATTTATCCTACTATTTGGTGCACTGTGTGAGTGGATTGGTTTGGTCTTTTTTCCAGCAATGACATGATGAAATTGTTAGAGTGGACCAATTCAGTTTTTCAATCAGTGCTATACACAAAGCAAAGAAAAATAATAATTTAATCTCAGTGATTCAGCGCATCAGCAATGGTATAGCACAGGCAAAAATAATAATTTAACTTTCTCTGTCCTTCTGCAGAGGAGCAGGGGAAGTGTTCAATTGATAGCAGATGGAGCTGGAGGCTTGCTGAGCTCAATATGCCATTTGGACATAAAGATCACACCAAATGGCATATCACCCCTCCCTCCTCAAACGATCCTATTTGGACCTCGTGAAAAGAGCGAGTGCAATTGCACTCTGAGCTTTTTTCTGATGAAACTCTCACTGAAACAAAATCTGGACGTGTCTAGACAGAAGCTTAAAAGGGCCGCTTGCCAGAAACCATTAAAAAAAAAGGAGTGCTCCAGCTTGCAGCTCAGAAGTAGGAGTTCTTCATGATGACAATCCAAAAAAATCCCATTCAACACTGAAAAGGGCCAGACTGGTTCGCAATTATCTTTACATCATGGGATTACATACAAATAGATCATATTTCACTGTGCTGTCAGCAGGTCAAAATGGGAGATAAATCACACTGTAGCAAACCTCTCCTACCTTCCTCATCAGCAATAAATAAAAAGGCCCCAAACTACATTTGGTCATGGAAATCATAGGGTGACCATGGGAAGTCAAACACTCCCAAGTCAGACCCACCTCCCAAGGTCATTGTGAGGATAAAGTGGAGTAAAAGAAAGCCATGTATGCTGCCTTGACCTTGCTGGGGGAAAGGGGAGGGATATAAATCCCAAAAGTTCATCAATAGATTATTGAGGGGGGCGGGGGGAGAATCAGGTCTTTCTCTCAGGGTTTCTTAAGGAAGGTGTTATGGTGATTATGATGATGTCCTGTATCTGGAAGAAGTGCTAGGAATAATGAAATTGCAGGAAGAAAGTAAGCACTGGTTAGAGTGGGATTTGGAAGAAGAGGTCCAGACCCCACCCACCCCCTTTATTTTTCAGGCGGAATAAGCATGAAGGACACCAAAATGGAATGGATTTTCATGTTTTGCAGCATTCATATAGCCCATATATGTGTAGCCTTCATAAAACACTGCTTCACATCTCAGAAATCTCCTGAGTGCAATAAATGTATGAGTCAAAGCATTCCAATTAACACCTGGTTCTATGGGGCTAATGTTCAAAAGCACTTGCCTCTCAAAGGCCACTGACATCCAGAACAGCCAAGAGACAGCTTGACAGTTATGAGGAACTATGATTCATCTGCCCATCAATTCACATCTGACTTCTGGTGACCTTAATAGGGTTTTCAAGGTATGTGATATGCTCGAGTGGCTTCCCACTGCCTCCCCCCCAGTGAGTTTCGATGGCCAAGCAGGGATTTGAACCCAGTCTTAATCTGTCACTCTACCCACTATGCTACATTGGCTCTCACGAGGGATTAAAAGGAAGCATTAAAATGTTGTTCTCCTAGGGATGTGTCCAAAGCTGCCATTTTCCTCAACCGCTGTGTAGAAGGATTCTGTTGTCTTCTCCCAGTAACCAAACAAACACAAACTAATTTGCAACCTGTAAACCTGTGAAAGACATTAAAGGATAATTAGATGCCTTTTATTGCTTAAATCAGCTCCTCTTCCAAGTGTACAACTCTTTTTAATTCTTTTAAGTGTAAAATGTAAAGCGACGTGTTTTGTTGGTTTTGGACCTTAATGAGTTTTTGTCTGAGGTAAGATTTGAACTTCCCTTTTCCAAAGCCAACACTTTCCAGAGCCTGTCCTCTGGGGACAGAACCAGGTGTCATTTCAGCGAAGGCATGCTCCCACACATGCATTTGTCAGATTAATACAAATGGCAACACAGGCACATGTCTGGAGAGAGGTACTTTCAAGGTAGGAGATCCACTAGTTTTCCTTTAGGTAGGCACTCCTTGACCCTCCAATTTATGTCTGACCATAAATTCAAGTTTACACTTTGCTCAGTAAAAATGGATTTAAAATCAGGAGTGGGAGGAGTGAGATCTGCATGGAGGAATTAGATTAAATAATGCCCACATATGAAATTTCTTCACACCCTCCTTCCCACTACTGCATTTGAGATAAAATATGGGGTTGGAACTCATTTACTTCATTTGTAACATTTATTCTACTCTTAATTAACTGCACTGCCAACTCTAGTTTAGTGTCTAGGAACAAATGTCACTTCCTCAGGCATATGTATTTGGATATGCCCTGCCATTACACAGACAGTATTTTAAAAAGAAAACAAAAATTAGCATTCTGGTCTTGGGGGAGGAGAATCTGAATCCATCGTAGGGCAACACTTTATTGGGAGCAGCCAAAATAACATAACAATGAATAAGCTTTTGAGCTCTCTGATATTCTTCACAGGCTGTGTCACTGTGTGTCACTTCTCTGTGACACACTATCATACACCTTTCATTTATCACACTAAAAAGCAATGATGTTCATGTCCTTTGGTCTCCCCCAAAACTTAATGTTTCACCCTGATTCTCCGCAGCTGTTTTGAATAAATCAAATGTTTTCTGTTTTTGTCCAAGTCATATTTCAAAAACTGCCTTTTGCAATGGACTACATACAGTCTTCATTTGTTTGAGACTGGTATCATCAGCTGCAAGAAATTATTTCTGAGTGCTTGTAGGACTGGAACCAAAGCTAACAATTATTCCTCTTTTAAAAACCAATGCCCATTAATTTAAAAAAAAAATGGAAGAGAGGATGTGTCAACATGGATAGATTTCCCTCTCCTTTTTCTTCACACAACCAATTATTCATTTCACAGTGATGAGCAGGACCTGCACTGTATTCAGGGGCAACCCCTCCTACATGAACCTGTGGCATGTATGACGGTCATAATCCATTTCCCCTAACCTTTTATTAGAGTAGCAAAGGAAGTTGGCTAAAGGGGCTTATGATGATGTCCTGTATCATCCAGAAACATGACATCACTACCACTACATTTTCAGAAACAACATGAGAGATATAACACCACAATTGAATGAATCCTGGAAAAAAAACCCAGTAACTATTAAAATTCCCACTTATTTCTAAATGAATGCCATTTTAGAACAAGTATACAGTCTATACTTACATTAACCTAAGGGCTGAAGTTCTCCCCCCGCACCCTTTTCTCAATGGGCAACAAGTAGCCACAGGTAACTTGCCAATGGCTTTGACATAAGACTGGCGGGACTAGGATCTGCACGTAGGTTTTTAAACTGCAAATCCAGCATTGTAACCATGGGGTGGGCACGGGACATGGCAACGTGTTTCCCCCTCCCCACCTCTCCTGGACAACACATATAAGAAATGGGCAGAAAAACAACAACGATGAGTTCTCCCTTCTGTCTCCCAAAGAAGCGGGGGGCGGCGGGGGGGGGAGAAGAGAGATACGAGACCCACCTTCTCCAGTGATAACCTCTTCACAAGAATACCAGATGCCAGCGTGAAACTTTCGGTCAAAAAACTTGTCATCCCCCGTCTCCCAGATGTACTGGACCACGTTGCTGTGGTTGCCTCCGGAGCTGTTGAAGCGGATGCAGTGGGTCCCACTCCCGAGTTCATTGCAATACGGTTTGGC